GGCAACAAATGTATAGATGTGCTTTACACAATTGATCTATGTATTGTGATGAGTTGTATGAGCCCCAATAAATTGATTAATTAAAAAAAATTTTTATTAGGATTATTTTTGAATGAAATGAAGTACCAATTATAAAATAAGAAGCTTTTATAAAAATGATAACACCCAAATGCCAAATCGACAGCCTCAAGCTTATGGATTTAAATAAGTGATGGTATTTTTAAAGTTAAATGCTTCTCTATTCCATTTGTTAGGAGCCCTGGTGGCACTGTCATGTAAGCATTGGTTCAAAGGTTCAAACCCAGCAGGCACTTCCTGGGTGAAAGATGAGACTATGTGTTCCCATAAAGATTTATAGCCTTGAAATCCCTGTTTACAGTCATTAGGTGTCAGAATCAACTGGATAGTACTGGGTTCAGTTTTCTGGGTTATTCCACTTGGTTACAAATTACCTAGATTTAAAAAGATCAGTTAACAAAATGTCATTTTATAATGATGGAGAGACATAGGCAGACTGATATTTAGCTGATATGCAGCAACACATCTAAATCAAGTGCTAAGATAAAAAGGTATTTCCAAACCAGTTGGTGTAGCACTGCTCCCCAGCCCAGTGACATGGTTCTTACCCTGGGATCCTTTATCTCCACATGACTAATCAACTATTACAACAAGGTTGTTCTGGACCTTACAGTGTCAGTCTGGTTTTTAAGTATTTAATATTAATCTTGTCACATATGATTATGGAATAACACATAGAGAAAATAATATTGTATATGATACATATATTTTATAGAATAGGCAATTCAACAGATTAATTCTGAGACAGAATGGTAGGACGACATTTCAGCTAATCTTAAGGCACAGGAGATCATTTAAAGACTGAATAATAAGAGGATCAAAGAAAGAAGCTACAACCAAGGAAGGGGAGACTATTCTCTTAAGCAAATTCACTTGGGTAATAGTTTAAATGCAAAGTAACTCTTTTGGTGACATTTGGGCTCCAGCATAACAGCTTACTCGTTCTTCACATAGTCCTGAACACAATCTCTTAGTTCTCGGTGCATTTGGAAGAAATAAATTAATTCAAATCTTCGATCTTTACCAATGCAGCTGTCTTCTCACAAACCCAAGAAATTTCAGCACTGCAGCGGGAAGCATAAATATTTTCTTTCTGAAAGTAAGCACATCCTTTGGATCCATTGATGTGGGCAAGTTCATTAGTACTGAATCTGAAAATAAACCATTTAAAAGTCATTGTAAATCCCATACTTTAAATGTGACTGCAGTTGCCCTATCAGCCAAAACTCACATGACTGAATGATGAGCAACTTCGACATCCACAGCTCATCTAAGTCCCTAAAGATGCACACTTGAATTCTTGGTCTTAAATTCATTACAATCCCAGATAGACTTCTTTAGAATTATTATGGTTTGAGGATTTATATCCCCCCTATTGACATGATAGATCAATCTATATACAAAAGTGAACTCAAGACATGTTCAGCAGGCATAATTTTGCATTAGTGAAACAATATTCTCGAAATTTTTGTCCTGTGTCTAGTCGCTATTGTTTACTTGGCAGTGTTCAGTCACTTAAGTTTTTAACCGGTATAGTGATTATTTCATATATTCCAGTCTAATAAACTTTCCTATACATATACATATTCCTTTTTACACTAGTATTTTAAATTCTATATCATTAACTAAATTAAGGATATTATTAATAAAATTAACAAATTCCCAAAACCCTGTATACAACTCATTATTTTGCAAGACGGCAAGAACCTGATATTGTTGTCTAAAACAAAGAATATATATAACCATTAGATATATGAATGAATTTTGAGCTCATACATAATTGTAAACCCTATTCTAAGAAAAACAAATTCTTATAATATGACCCTGCTCAATACTTCTCATAAAATGATCAGTGAAGATATGGGTGGAAGAACAAAGTATGGTGAAGATATCAAATGGTGTCTCGTTATCAGAGAGTGTGGTAATTACATAATTTCATGCCAACTTCAAGATATATAAAAGAGTAGGGGTGGTAGTCAACCTGTCAATCATGTCACAGCTTGATGGTGCCTCCTTGTAGGCATGGCCCTTTCATAAGGAGAGCCCTGGGGACCTCCCCTTCTCTCTCTGTCTTCACCTTCCTGCTGGCTGTCCTGGTTGCTGCCAGAGCCGTGATGCCTCCACCATGACTGGATCCACACAACTCTGCACATTAGATCTACACAACCTGTGGTCTTCCTGCATTCTGCATCATTGTTTGTGACTATGTGAGTCTGCAGAGGGACTAATGGATTAGTATCAGACTTATGGAATTGAGTTGTACTGGGTTGGGATATTTTCTTGATATATAAATACTTCTTTATATAAAACTCTTTCTTACATATATATGAGTGTCTCTACTCAACCTGGCCTAACACAGCGAAGATAGTGTCTGGAGCCTTACAGACTTGCTTAAACACACAGCCATATAATGGGGTGCCAGCTAAGACCACAAAGAGGAAGCACACGACCCTTGTGTAATCCAAGGATTTAGAATACTAAAACCCAAGATTGAAGGAGGGAATTGTATAAGGGCTTTCAATTCTGACCACCAGTTTTTTGAGGCTAAGAATGACAGTGAAAGCCCAAAATCCATTTGCAGAGTCCCTATGTGGATTAAGCCCGTAGACCATTGACTAGGAATGTGAACTGTCTTGCTCACAGAAAGGAAGACTTGGAAAATAGATTACTACAGACAATTGATCTAAATTTAACATCTAACCATCTTCCTAACTTGACCTCTTCTTAACCCCTCCTAGTTTTTATTGCTTTCTTTGAAATTAAGATTTTTCTGTTTTATTTTAGTGTTTTTGTTTTCTTCTTTTTTTGTTCAATCTTCTTTGTATGAAAATATATTTGTTCATCTTTTCTTTATATCTAGAATAGGTAAACCTATAGAGACACCCACTGGATCAATAGTTTCTTGGAGGTATAGCAAGGGAGGTTGTGGAAGATGGGAAATGCTAATAACAATGAATAAAAGAAAGAAGAAAATATTCCAAAATAAATTGTAATGATTGCACAAGTCTTTTTAATGTATTTGAACCATTGACTTGTGATATATGTGAATTATATTTCAAAAACATGCTTAAAATGAACTCAAGATGGATTAAAGATGTATGTAAATATAAACTCTAGAAGTATAAAAATCATCAATAAAAATTAGAGGAAAACTTAATGGCCCCAATATAAGACATAATCACACTACCAAGTATAATGAAAAACACTTATATTATAGAGGACAAAAATGGAGAATTGTAATATCCTAAAAATACGGCAATGTTAAAAAAAAGGGAAGCAAAACTTCTCACAACTGGACCAATAGATTGAAGTTGTCAAGGATTTCATCTTGCTTGGATCCATAATCAATGCTCATGGAAAGCGTAGTCAAGAAATCCAATGATGTATTATTATACTGGGTAAGACTTCTGCACAAGATTCGTTAACAACCCTGGAGAGCAAGGATGTCACTTTAGGACTAAGATGTGCCTGACTCAAGCTATGGTATCTTCAGTCACCTCACAAACATATGAAAGTTGGACGTCGAATAAGGAAAACTAAAGAAGAATCATTGTACTTGAATTATGGTGATGGAGTAAGCTACTAATAGAAGCTGGTCGAGCATATTGAAGGTTCCATGGACTGCCAGAAGAACAAACAAATCTATTTTGGAAAAAGCACATCCTCCTTAAAAGAGAGGATGTTGACACTTCACTTCTGGTATTTCAGACATGTATCAGAGACAAGTTCCTGGAAAAGGACAGCATTCTCAGTAAAGTACAAGAGCAGTGAAAAAGAGGAAGATCATCCCAGTGATGGAGTGACATAGTGATGTCAGCAATGGGCCAAAGCATAGCATTCATTGTGAGGATGGCACAGCACCAGGCAGTATTTCTGAACAGTAACCATACGTTCAAACCGGCTTGATGGTACCTAACAACAACAACCATAATAACATGCTTCTGGGTTGGTTTAACCAGTCAATCTTCCTATTAGTAATCCTCCTCTCCGTTAATCATTTGCCACATCTGGGTATTTCACAATTACATGTTATTCAGATATAAAATTCTTCTCTGTAAGCCCAATGTGGCTTTTTGCCAAATGTTCTGTATTGAAATGCCATATCCTTTTCTCACTTGAATACTGGATTTACTAAATCTTAATCTTTATTTTATATTTGCTCACAATAGCCTTTACTTGGCTTGAATTCAACAAGGGGTCATCTAGCAGGGAAGCAAAAAAGACCACATGGAAGAAGCACAACAGCCTGTGTGATCAGGAAACGTCAATGAGAATAGGTATCAGAAGTTCAAAATCAAGCAACCAAATTGACATGAAGGAGCATAAACAAAGTGGAAACCCAAAGACCACCTGTAAGATAATTGGACAGTCCCTCACAGAAGGGCCACATGAAAGGGATGATATATCCATGGTGTAGTACAGCACTGATGAAACACATAACTATCCTCTAGTTCGCTAATGTTTCCTCCCTGCTGCTATTATGGTCTTAGTTTCTCTTCATTAATTCCAGTAGATGTGTGCATGTCCCTTTATATAATTAAGATCTTAATTATATTCAATGCATGAAATCCAAGATAGATAAACCCTTCAGAAATAGTAAGGGGAGTAATGATTCCTTGAGGGTACAGAAAGAGAGAGGCAGAAGGTGGAGAAAGGGAAACTGATAGCAATTATGATTACATAACCCCACTGGAGGGGACCAGATAATAGAATAGTATGCAAGCAGATACATTGGATGGTGTAAGATATGGAAGAAGGGAAAAAGAAATAATAATATTTAAAATAACAACAAGAGTTCTTGGGCGTTAGGGTGGGAGAGGGCAGGGATAAAGGGGTGCTGATATCAAAGTGCCAGAAGAAAGAAAATGTTTTGAGAATGATGGTGGCAGCAATTGTACAATCATGCTTGATCTAATTGAACTATAGATTGTTATACTATCTGTAAGAGCTGCTGATAAAATGGAAAAGAAAAAAAAGAAAGCCTTAGTCAGAAATGGATATGTAACACCGAAACTCCATCTCCCTAATCTGAAACTGCTCCTCTGTAACCTATGCTATCCAGAGGGTTCAGTGTTTGAGGGCTCTGAAGCCTTCCTCTGGAATCCATCCCATGCATTTATTAGGAGTGGGGGAGGATGACAGCGATGATTACATCACTTTGCGAGAGGAAACGTTTGTTAGACTTCAGAGTGGAAATGAAAATACATTTACATAGCTTTGTGGTCTATTCCAGTAAGCTCTCCAGCCTAGCAACCCTGTATGGAATTTATTTTTAATCATCCCATACCCAATATTGCATTTGCTTCAAAATTGTTTTTGCTTTTTCATCTATTACTCTGTGTGTGTATTTTGTCATTTTTGTATATGTGAAACTAAATTAATAGATTTAATAATATTACTTATCATGATTAGGGAATGAGAATTTTCCTGAATTGCTGTTTGCCTGAATAGAAATAAGTGTGAAACAAAACTTTGGAAAATAGATGTAGATAAGCTCTACCTAGGGAGAACACATAAACATACCTTAGTTTGTTATTTAAGGGATTTGATGAGTCACAACTGGAGTCTAGTATCTTTGATAGATAATGAGTGATTCTAATTCAGTTTAATAACACTAAGGAAATGTAGATTGAAGAGTATAACAAAACTAAGTGCAATGATTCAAGTCCTTGCTGGGACTGGGATGGGAAGTAGGTGGGAGGAGAACACCTACTACACCCTGAAATACGTCAATGAATCTACATCTTATTTCATATGCCGCGAGCACTGCACTGCACTGGGTTCCTAAAACTCACAGCCATGGACTCAATTCTTATTCCAGTAGACCCTCTAGGACAGGGTAGAACCACCTGGGGGAACTTCTGAGCTGTTAATGTTTATGAGAACAGAAAGCATCAGCTTTCTACTGAACTGGCTGGTGGTCTCGAACTGCTTACCTTGTAGTTAGCAGCCCAATGCACAACGATGACACCACCAGGGCTCATATAGTATTAAGATAATATACATGATCTCATTGTTTTAATATAGTTGTGACTTCAGGGGGTATTATAAAACAATGTTCCTCAACATTTGGAGGGTTGTAGTGGCTGAAAGAAGGAAGACTGATGATATAGTGGGTCTCCCATTGGGCTGCTACCCACATGGTCCGCACTCCACACAAGAAAGATGAGGTTTCCTACTCCCCACAGTTTTGGGAACCCCCAGCGGTCAGTCTACTGTGACCTCTAGGGAGGGTCTGAGTTGGATGGACTTGACAGCAGTAACTTTGAATTCAGTTTTGGTTATGTGCCCTTCACACATTGTTTAAAGCTGACATGTAATTTTTTTCATAAATATTTTCAAACATGTCACTTTCCAAGTATGACATATTCTAATTGTAGTTTAAGTGTTTCCATCAGAGCAAAAAAGTGACAGATTTAGCTCATTGTAAATTGATGAAAAATGTTTGCCATACAATGTAGTTAACCAATCCTCACTGAGAAATGACTTGTTAAACTAATCAGTCAGGTCAGACTGGTTTTCTGTTAGAAAATGACGGGCAACTTTTCAATTGGAATAAATGTTCCAATTCTCATGTGCGTTCATATGGTGCCCCCTAATCTACGAATGCTACGGGCCAGAGGGCAAGGTTAGAAAGCACTGAATGTGTGGTCTCTAAACACTCATGATTTTGCCACTTAATAGATGAGACACCTCAGACAAGTTATTTAATCTCTCAGTGACTCCATTTTCTCCCCTACAAAATGATAATAGAACAGTGTTTATCTTATAGAGTGAATATTTTAAAGAAATTTAAGAATGCTATTATATATGTTGGATAAGATAAATTCATAATGTAGATCAAGTGGTTTGCCATTAGTTTCTCATATCAGACATCCTTTGTTTCAGTATTTGTTACCGCAGCTTTCTTTCCCTTCTAAGTCTGCACCTCTTTTATTTTTTTTCCAATCCAAGTGTACAATAATTCTTAATTAACATTTATTTTCTTGAAATTATTTGGAAAGCTTGACCTCTCCCTGATAGTTCGAGACTTACAAGGACTCAGAAGGAGAAAAACCATCCTCCCACAGCCAACTTCTGCCATATGGGTTCCACGATAATCCCAGCCAGAAGAAAGACAACTTGGGGAACAACTGAGACCTGAGAAAATCCTGACAGAGAAAACAGAAAACATTTGCATAGGAGAGCCACATTCCATTTTGCAAATGCAAACCAGAAGGGAGTCTTCTTTAAAATCATTTATTTATTGTGGCGAAGAAAGCTGATGGTGCCCGGCTATCAAAAAGTATAGTGTCTGGGGTCTTAAAGGCTTGAAGGTAATCAAGCGGCCATCAAGCTCAGAAGCAACAAAGCCCACATGGAAAAAGCACACCAGCCTATGCAACCATGAGGTGTCGAAGGGATCAGGTGTAAGGCATCATCAGAACAAAAAATCTTACCATAGTGAATGATGGGGGGAGTGTGGAGTGGAGATCCAAAGCCCATTAGTAGGCCACTGGAGATCCCCTTGCAGAGGGGTCTCGGTGAGGAGATGAGCCAGTCAGGGTGCGATGTAACAATGATGAGAAATACAACCTTCCTCTAGTTCCTAAAGGTTTCCTCCCCGCTCCCACTACCATGACTCGAATTCTATCTTGCAAGACTGGCTAGACCAGAGGAGGTACACTGGTACAGATAGGAACTGAAAATACAGGGAATCCAGGATGGATGAGCCCTATAGGACCAGTGGTGTGAGTGGCAAAACAGGGAGGGTAAAGGGAGAATGGGTAGGAAAGAGGGAACCGATTACATGGAACTGTGTGTGACCTCCTCCCTGGGGGACAGACAACCAAAAAGTGGATGAAGGGAGAAGTCGGACAGGGCAAGATATGACAAAATACCCATTTATGAACTATCAAGGGCTCATGTGGGAGGGGGGAGCGGGGAGGGAGGGGAAAAATGAGGACCTGGTGTCGGGGGTTTGGGTGGAGAGAAAATGTTTTGAGAAATGATGTACAAATATGCTTTACACAATTGATGTGTGTATGGATTGGGATAACAGTTGTATGAGCCCCTAATAAAATGTTTAAAAAAATCATTTATTTATTATATTTTAATGGACAGAATTCCTACCATGAAAATCAGAAATTCCACTCATAGACCTTTCATTAAATGGACAATTTCAGTAATTTGAAAAAGAGATCCAACCATACCTTTTCTTCCAAGCTGTCTATCATCAGCAAGGTGGAGTTCTTATCCATGCAGTCTTGTCTACTATTAATCCAGGTTTTCTCTTCATTACTTTGAAAATAATAGCAGCTGTTTTGGTGCCATTGCCACATTTTAGGACAAGGATTACATTTGTGGTCTACAAAAAAAAGAAATTATGCACAATAGTAGAAGCTCAATGACTCTAGCTGAACATTTCCCATAGTGAGGCATGCCCCCACCCCTCCCCATGAGCCGATGGAATGATTGGTGGGAAGAGGGTGCTGCAGACTCAGACACCTACACTTTATCTCATACTACAGGCTATGGCACAAATGTTTTAAATGGAGGTGGGGGATATACTAGGATTTTTTCCCTAAAAAGTGGGTGATAGGTCAAATAAGTCTGGGAAACTATATCTGAGGATAATCTTGAAATTATTGTGTTTAATTAAGCAGTAAACTTAATTAAGCAGAGCAAGCACACTGAAAGATACCACTGTAGGGGCCTTTTTAAGTAAGGTCCTGTGATTATGCCATGAATGGGAAGTAACCCACCAAAAATCAGAACCCCTGCCATCAAGATGATTGTCACTCCTTCGTGCCGGTTTTCAAGACTATAAATCTTTACAGGGGCAGATGGCCTCATCTGTTTCCTTGGAAACGGCTGGTAGGATTTGAATCTCCAACATGTTTATCCCACTGTGCCGCAGATCCAAATGCAATTTGTTGGCCTCAACATTGCAAAGATCATCCACAAATTGTCAATAAAATGAGGACTTTAAAGGGCTCCATTTAATTTAATGTAAATGATGACTTTAAAAAATTAGGATAATTCCAATAAGCTCCCTACATTTCCCTCTATGTGATACTCTTAAGGGTCTTGGCGAGCATATCTTTGAGGGCCTCCCTTGAATAAGGGCACCAGTTTACACACAACTGGGTAGCAAGTCTATGCGCATTTACCTGACTTTTGAATGACAAGCTGCTGACAGAATTTGGTGGCCATTAGCTCCTGCTTCTTCAACAGATTGGAGATCTGTGATTTGAGAAAGTCTTCCTCCATGGGAAAGCTGTAGTTGCTCAGCTGCGGGGAGGAGTTATCCAGCTGTTGGTGGGTAGTTTTCTGAAATGAACTCAATTCCTCGGGATCCAAGTCAATGTTATTCGATGTCTGCAAATCTCCAAGACATAACACATAAACTTAGTTAAATATTTAGATAAACAAAAATACTTGTTTACTCACCCCTCATCATAATTGTGCTATCATGGAGGAAATACACCAGGTGCATTTCTATTACCAATGATTTAAGTCTCACCTTTATAATTTTATTTATAATTGAATTAATAGCACACTTAAATAAAAAATGAATAATTTTAGAACTCTGAAATGTTATTTTAGGCAATTTTATTATTGTCATTCTTTTTAGTAAAAGGTTTTTGCTTCCCCTCCCCCGTCTGCATTTTGGAGATGGTCAGTGTGAATTTTGTTGTTTTAATAGAAATGGAGTTTTTAGAGTAATTGTCCTCAGGCTCCATACAGGATATCCGGGGTATTCTTGAGTTTCCATGTATTGGGCACCCTTAAGGCAATGAGTTCCACAAATAAGGGGTGGTTTATGGTTCACTACCTTGTTGCCTGGGAAAGTGGAATAGAAGATTAGGTAGCCTGAGATGAGAAGTCTGCCTCTGTCTTGGTGTTTATAGTAGTGGCCTCATTCAATATTTGTCCTTTTATGATTGCTAATACCGCTCAACATAATGAATTCCAGGTTCATCCTTGTCATGTAATGTTTCACAGTTTTTTAGGGATGCATAATATTCCATTGTGTGTATGGACAACAATTGCTTTATCCATTCTTCTACTTCCATTTCTTTATCCAATTGGCTTATTTCCAGCTCCTTGCTATTACAAACTGTGTTGCACTGGACATAGGACAGCATATGTCTGTTTGTGTTCGGTCTTTTATATCGTTGGAGTATATGCCCAGTAGACGTCTTGCTAGGTCACATGAGATTTCTATCCCTGGTTGTTTTAGGTATTGCTGTATAGTTTTCCTTAATGGTTGTATATATTTTCAAACTGACCAGCAGTGTATAGCCATCCAATTTCTCTACATCCTCTCCAGTATTATTTTCTGGTTTTATTTTTAAATTGGGATAGCATTGTGGGTATAAGGTGATATTTCATTGTAGTTTTGATTTGCATCTCCCGGATGGCTAGTGATCTTGAGCATCTTTCCACGTGTTTGCCCACCATGTGAGTGGAATTATTGATGAACTGTCCATTTATATCTTTCCCACTTTTTAATTGAGTCATTGCTTATTTTATTATTGTGGCATTGCAGAATTCTATAAATGTTGGTAATTAGACCCTCACCCATTGTGTTATTACTAAAGATTTTTTCCACAATCTGTAGGCTCTTGTTTTACTCTTTGGATGAAGGCTTTTGCTGCAAATAAGTAAAACCTGCATTTTTAAAAAGCACCGCAGGTAAATCATCAGCACAATAAAGGTAGGAATTTATAGCACTGCAGTTAAGGGAGACAGAAAAAAAGAAAATTGAGAAGTACCCTTGTACGATGAACCAATAAACATATACTATCTTCATCATTTTTTTAAATGTGCATCAGTGTAGATGGTCAACTGCTCATCCTCACAATTCTTGGCTAATTAATATGCTGCTACTTCTTTAATATCATATTCTTAAAAGACAAACTTACAAAAGACTTCTGTATCAATGTATGAATAGACATGCAAAAATCCTAATTATGAAAAAAGTAAAAGAAAAATAAGTATATGACAGGAGACACAGTTTTATTCAGAAAACAAACTCTCCTGGCTACAAATCCCCTGTTAGTCTATCAACCTACAACTGCACAATTATGGGTCAAAAGCAAGGGAATATTCGTTTGTGGCCATGGTGCTAGTGAGGGGGTCTTCCATTGCAATGTAGAGAGGGTTTAACTCCATGCTCCTAAGTGATATATATCAGAACATCCTGTCTCATTTGAACTCTTTCACCATTCACTGTACCCAGGCCTCTGTGACTATTTAGGGGTTTTCACTACACTATAAAGAACTTTGATACGTAGATAAAATGAGTCTAGTTCTAGCATTAGAGTTAAGTGCAATGGGGTTGTCTTTCCTTGAACACAACCTTGCAGACTCCCTGTTCCTCGTCATTGAAATAACAAGTGAGTGTGTGCTAGACTGAAGAGAGGCTACGTATTTCAACAACTATCTAGAAAAGGAAGAGTCTTCTTTATAAACCAAGCTAACGTGTCGAGAGAAAACAATGATTAAGACAAAAATGTCATAAAATATTAATATGTTCCTTGGTAAATTTGACCTAGATTTGTTTATCTTTGAGAACTACAGAATGGAGAATACTCAGATGGCAGAAAGTATAAGAGGATTCAAAATTCTAGCACCTACCGTATTTTCTAAACTGAATTAACATAGTTTACAATATCCTTGTCAATCACCTCTCTGGGGTTTTATACAAATATACTTACACAAAATCCCCAAGGTCACCAGCCCAGTCAACAGCAACAGGCAAAGGGTTATCAGACTCAGGACAGCCCAGCGCCATACAGTGGATGGAGTTTGGTCCCCTGAAGAAAGTCAATAGACAGAGGAGTTAGCGACCAGCAGCGACTTTCAGTTATTTACACATTGGGTTGTTCATTGCCATCTGTTAGGGAGAGTCTAAGAATTAACCTTTCTCCTCCTGCCTTTCACGTGCTCCTGTTTGGAAAATACCAATAATCACACATAAGCAAGCTATCACCCCATCTATTGTCACCCATTTCCTTGCCACTGTCCTTCCCTTTCAGAATAAATGTTGCTTAATTATTAAACTTTTCCTTCTTCAAGTATACTGGATGTATTAACAAGATGTTGGAAGTACTGAATCTCTGGGATAGGAAAAAATACCACCTCCTCTTTTTTATTTTTGTTTGAGACTGCAAACCTCCGTAGAGTAGGGCTGTTGTAGATTTTACTTTTAAGTATGATCTATCTTATCAATCATTTTGTAGATAATGAATGAATAATGAATGAAACATTGATTAAATGTACAGTATAACCTAAGGTGGCAGAATAGTCCAGAAAGCCCGTCGTATACGACTTCAAAATTTAGCATCTTCAATTTTTTTCTCTGCAAAGGTTCTCGCATTTCTCTAACCTTCTGATTTATGTCTTAATGGTATCTAGCACAATGTTACAGATAGTTAATGCAACCCCCCAGGTGCATTGTTATCTTTGCCATAACCCCACAAATGCTTTAACTGAAACTAAATGTAAAGAGGAAGTGAAGTTTAGACAATTCAGGACAACATCCTGAACCCTGAACAGATCATCTGTAGGTAAAGAATGCTGTCTGATGTGTTCAATCAAATTGCTGACCACGGAGATGGCTGTATCTTCCAGTGGGATGTAAGGGAATATGCTGAAGACTAGAATTCAGTCTTGGCTCCAACACATACCAGGTGTATGAACTTGAACAAATCACATCATCTCTTTCAACCTCAGTGTTCTTATTTACACAATGGAGGAAGTACTAATAGTATTCCATTTCACAATAATATTTGGAAATGAATATCAGGTTATGTATATTAAATACTATACAGCTTTTAGTTGTTAGGATTTATTCAACATTACCCTGGATATTTAAATTACACTTTAAAAAGTTAAATTATACAGGAGAAACTAGCTCTTGTTCAGTTTAGAACAATTCATCCTCTAGGTTATTTTTTCCTTGCAACAATTCATACTATCTAAAGCATAAAGTCTTTCCACCCTTTCTATTTTAGAACGTCTGAAATGGCTTTTTTGAAATGTTCATTTCACTGGTATCTTCCACAAGGTATAAAGATGAGGGACTACATTTATAAAATAACTGTGTACAAGAATTCCTAAGCCCAGCTCTTGGTCTCCATTTTGGAGATTCCACAGCATACCCTTCTTCAGCATTCTCATCAAAGCCAACATCATCAATGCATTTAACACCCGTCCATCCCTCCCAGGTTACCTCCTGCTTTCAAAAAACTCCTCCTACCTCTCTTTCTTAGATTTGGACCCTCGTTATTTCCTGCTTCTGCCGAATTCTGTATTGTGAACGTCGCGTAGGTCACTTCTTCAGACATTGTAGGAGAAAGCACTGCTCTGAACTTTGTAATTAATGTTTCCATTTCTTCAGGCTTGGGAAGATCATGTTCTTTTCAAGGCTGGAAATCTGTATATAGATACTCAACTGACACAAGGGACAGCCCAGTGGCCTGCTCTAAGAACAGAATGACAATGTTTTTCTGTTCCGTTCTCTCAGAAGTGAGAGAGTCAAATCTTGTTTTTCCCCCCCAAAACCGTTCTAGTGGGAGCTAATACAGATATCATATCGTTGCATAGTTCAATCCCACCAAGCAGTATTGTACAATTGCTACCACAATCAGTTTCCGAATATTCTCTTCCTTCTTGAATTCCTTGACATCAGCTCCCCTTTACCCTCCCTCACCGAGCCCCCCACGAACCCTCATTCTACTTGCTATCTCCATAGGTTCATCAGTCCTTATGAACACAGAAAACCCAAAAAACATATCAAACATTTCAGAAGGTTAGCTCCAAGTCTTTTTTGAAATCAAAGCATTATAGATCTCAATTGTGTGCCATTCTACTCCGATAAAGAGTTATAGTCTCAGAATCTCACAGGTAAGTGGTGTGGTGCTCTCCAGAGTCACTATGGGTCAGCATTGACTCAATGGCTGTGAGTTTGGCTTTTTATACTGTCCCCAGCAGGTTTCCCCCATCGAGGACATACCCAAGCAGGCCGCTAAGAGAGAGTGCCCATCCCTGGGCTGGCTGCAAAGGGGTGGAGGTCATCTATTGACCAAGGCAATCTACCTGAGGACAAGATTACCTATATTCTTGGTTAATGGTCAGAAAGAATTCAGAGGAGGTGTCCTAGGGAAAAATCATCACAAGATTATACTACAAAAACCAAACTCCCTGCCATCAAGTCTATACTGACTCTAGTGGGGAGAAAACAAAGTTTTTCTTAACAAAAGTGTCAAAAAGAAAAGAGAGCTGGGATGTGAACAATACACCATCAAAGCTATGTGTGACCGAATCAAGAACCAGACGCCACGTGTTCTTCCTATAGAGTTGGTAGTGGTTTGGCTCTTACCATAGATAAGTATAAGCAGTAACTGGTGCAAAATCTTTCTTTGTGGAAAGTCAGGAAGGATCTTTTGTTGATTGGGGGTGGGGGGGTGGGGAAGGAGATATCTGGTTCCTATGTGCCTGTCTAGGTCTTGAGGGGAACTTCCTTAGGGCTGCCCAACCCTTCACCTCACTATTCTTTCTCTATGTTTCTGTATTTGCAGTGTGAATGCTCTTCTGTCACCTAGATCATTCCTGTTCCTTTATGACCCCAAGGAGATTGCTCTAGGTGACTGTCCTTTTCCATCTCCTTGGGCTTCACTTTGGCTACTTGGTGGTCACAAAGTGAATGTGGGGCACTCTTTTTGAACTTCTTTTAAGGCTTGGGATGAAACCAGACTCTGCCTTTGCTTTGAGGCACTAACTCAGAGGCTTCATTTAGGTGGGGACCCTGATAATGGATTTGGGGCTGTCACTGCCATCCAGAGCCTTTGTATACTGGGGTGCTCAAAATTTAAGCTCTATAACAGAATAATTCAAAATTATTTACAAAAATGTATGGGAGTAAATGAAGATTCAATTCAGAGATTTCAAAGATCCAAAGAACATAAAACCACAAAAGACCCAATTCCAATATTTTCAAGTTGGTTTTGACTTATAGTAATTCCATAGGATTGAGTAGAACTTCTCTATAGGAACTCCATGTTAGCAGAAATGAGAACCGGTGGGCCAGGCACATGAAGCAATGCCCTGACGACAGTATGCTATGGTGCATAACAACTCCTGATGATGGCCATTCAAGCCTTGACTCAGACTGATGGCAGCTCCAGATAAGCATTGTCACATCATTACATTGTTACTATGTTACTAACTGCCCACCTTGCAAAACAGCCAGTCCGCAATGGAAAATTCCCAAATTGCCTTTACCTCAGACTAGTACTGTAAAATCCTTCCCCTCAGTCCCTAACTGGGGACCCGCGTACCTCACCCTGGAGGTCTGAACTAATCCTTTAAAACTTTTTTCTGCCTTTGCCTTCTTTCTTTCTTTCTTTCCATCCCCAAAACTGCCTTACACTCCAAGGCTGTAAACCTTATGGAAGCAGACTAGACAAAGAAAAATTAAAATTAGAAAGAAAAAAATGGCCACAAGGAGGAGCCACTGGATAAATTTTGTATAGAATTGATTTTGAAATGGATATTCATTCAATTTGGGTAATAAGCAAAGTTAAATTATTAAAATGATTTAATTATTTAATATTTATATATAAGACTAATAAGGCAATGATGAACCAGAAGTATTAATGAACCAGAAGTATAAAACGGTACATAGCACTGATCTGTGTGCCCAAATTTGACCTAAGGATGGTGCACTTAAAGATCTTCTAGAATAAAAATTATGAACTGCAAAATTCTCACTTCTCTCTCCCTTTTAAATCAGTTTAGAGACACTATGATAACGCCTATAATAGTCGTATCATTTTCTTGTTGCCTTTCTCTTTCACACATCATTGCCTGCCCATCGCTCCCATTCATAATCTTTCATTCCCTGGCAATTTCTTAATTCATCTACGTCTTGTTACTATCATCCTAGTGGCATTTTCCCATCAATCCTTTAGCCACAACCCAGATAAGGGAGTTTGGCTGTATCTAAATTTGAAAACATCATATCATTGAAAGATTCTGATCTCTGGATAAATGCTCCTGCGAATTACAAGGGAAAGTACTAGTTATCTAGTCCTGCTATCCCAGAAGTACCACACATGGAAGGGTTCAGCAAGCAGAAATTTAGTCTCTCATAGTGTATGGCACCTGAAATCTGAATTCTGAGTGTCAGCTCTGTGGGAAGGCTTTCTCTGTAGTCCTGTCAAAGATCCTTATCTCAATTCAACATCTGTTGGTCCTGTGTTCCTTGGATGTCTCTGCATTAATCCTCTCCTTGATTCAGGAGGTTCTCAGGGTAGAACCTGGAGTGCCAAGGATTTATATACTACTCGTCCAGCTTTTCTTTCTTGCTGGTAATGAAGTCCCTCCCCTCCCAGCTTGCTTTTGAGATTGAAGGGGTGATTTAAATATGGGGGGACCTACAACATACCCTCCTGTAAAACTCAAGATGCACTCATTCTAATCCTGCCTCATTTATACATAAATGTTATGATGCACAACATGCAAAACGGAGGATAATTTCATCAGATCATAAAATGAAGGACAAATACACAATGCTGGAAATCATGGCCCAGTCAATTTGATATATGTGTGGAAGGGACATGATTCTATCCATAACAAATGAAAATGCCCATTCTACATAGATTCATTCATTCAACAGATAGCTATTGGGTGGAAATGGTAATATGATAGTCTCTTAAAGAACCATGGAATATTGAAATATTGTTGTAAAATCAGAGAAATATTTTTTCAATAAAAGCATCAAAATATGAAGCTATTGGTTTTTTGACATAGCTCCCATCTATGCTTGTACACTTCTGAAGACAGTGTCTTCATCTCTCTAACCTGGAAAAGACTGTGTTCTCTGATTTATACCACACAAAGAATGGCGGCTTTGACATCTTCAAGGAACTCAAATTGTGCTCCTTTTCAATGTGCTTTGAGTTTGGGGAATAAAAAGGATCCCAAAAGGACAAGATCAGGGCTACAGGGTGAATGGTGTAAGATTGATCAATAAAATGCTCATAGGGCAGACATTCATATGCTTGAAAAATGAACAGGCGTATCATCATGATAGGAAGGGAAAAATCCTCATAAGCGGTGGGATAGTGTTATGGCATTGAAGAAAAGACATCAAGATTATCCTTGGAAGTCCTAAAAAACAGTCTCTATAACCTTCTAGGCTGACCTCTTTGCCTTGAATTTAACTCGCACAGCTGATGTCCTGAAAAGCCAGTGATTTAACTGGGTCTTTTCCCAAAGGTACTCTAAGGTGACAAACACACATGGATTAGTTAGAGAGCTTGTCTACAGCCATCCATCGATCACAGAGACATGCTTAAACATGTTTTATTTGAAATAAATCTGCGTGTATGGACTGGAACCCTAGTAGCAATACTTTTTTACTTGTCCTAGCATGTTCTTGTGTGGATAAATGCCAATGATTGAAATGTGTAAGATGAGTCTATAAAGTTGAAAGAGAGATCAGTGCTATAAAAAGAGTGATGCAAGGAAGAGGGACAGCGATGTGGACTGATATGTTTGAACAACAACTTGAAGAAAGCTGTTACCCAAAGTCTAAGAAAAATAAAATTATAGAGTTCAAATCTGAGTTTGAACTGGGTTCATTCCCTGGCATGTTGACTTGCACCATGCATTTCGCCATGAATATCCATCTCCAATTACAGTGGCTGAAGCATAATGGACAGTCAATAAATATTTACTTGAAATAAAGTTATGATTTATGTATGAAAACTTCTTAATGTCTAAACTACCAAGTAAATAAATGTTTACATTCCAGGCTCATGATCACCAGAAATTTTAAATACAAAACTTTTATCCCACTGTTGTTATCTGAGCCAAAAAAGAAAATATTAGAGCATGAACAAAAGTAAAAGGAAAAAATATATGACTATAATGATATAGATCTTGTAGGCCAATGAAGAGATTCTTAACAAAGTCTCTAATATTTAGAAAAGGGGAAAGAAGATAGTGTTGCGTGTGTCTCTTTGCCTCCAATTCTCTGCTTGACTTTTGCTGAGTAACTCAGCTTCTGTTTATAATATATGTGAAGGGAGCGGGAAGGATTACACATGTTGTAACCGCATGATTAGAAGTATGTGTAATGTTACAGCACAATGCTTTGGGAAAACAAGTCAAGGTAAAATCTATTTCTTGGGAATCATAAGCACCACATGTCTCTCTGTGGTGACTTGAGTATTGCGGTGATGCTGGAAGCTATGCTACCAGCCTTTCAGCAAATCTCCTTCTAGTGGAACATAGATCTGGAAATAAGACCTTTGGCCTGTGTCTGGAGATATACATGATC